CAGGGCGTAGATGTGGGGAGGGTTTTCGTACTGGGCCTGGGTGAGAGGGACACACACACACGTAGATGGAGGCCCTGAGCATCTCAGCACATCCCATGGGTAGCTAGAGGTCATCTAGTCCAGCTGGACCCAAACTGGAATCTTTGCTGTTCGGAGCCCATCGTTCCCAGGGGCAAAGATTCCTCCACATGGGTTCAAATCAGGGCTTTCCCCTCCACAAACACACCCACAACCACACACTCACCGCCCCCTGGTACATGTCGATCTCCCGGTCCGTGAAGTAAGGCAGCTGCTTGAAGGGGTTGACCGAAATCAGGACTGGCCCGATGTACGTCTTTTTGTTTCCAAGTTAAGGGGCGGCACAAAAAGGGGACTCGGAGGCTGAACGCCTGCCTCGTCCCGTCCCCACGGCTCCCTCCCCCTGAGGCTTCCTGCCAGAGGTAGACTCCTCTTAGACATGGAGGCTCTGCCACTCCATTCCCAATGGGTGCCCGCCAGCACCTTCCCTGGTGCTAGTTCTGCCCGCGGAGACTCTCCTTCTCCGGGGGAGCCTCCCAGCAGCCCCCAAGTTCAGAGAGGGATACAAAAATGTAGTCATCCATGAACCTCTTGCGGAGGTTCTCCACGATGGCGTCTTCGTGGATCTTGGGCAGGAGAACCATGTCGTCCACCCCGCTCTGCTTGACGTTCTGCATCTGCCAGTGGAATCGCTCTTTGCTGCCCTGGAAGGCAAGGAGGAGGAGGAGGAAGAGGAAGTTGGGGTGCCTTCCTCCCTTCCCCCCCCCGTTTTAAATGGAACCCCCTCGAGAACCGAGGAAAGAAATGGGCCCCCCTTCAAAGCAAAATCCTTTTAAGTTGTGGCACTGAAATGCCCAACGTGCACAGCTCTGCAAGCCACATGGGTCTTCAGAACTTGGGGGGGCTGCCAGAGTCCGTGCCTACGGCTAATTTTTTGGGGTAGCCCCAGATGGGATGGCCAGTAGCCACCAGGCCATCGAAGGCCCTTGAAACTTTCAAGCATCACTTCAAAAACTTTGGCCGCTTTTGAAACTAAATTACAGCCCCAGCCACCAACCCCCCCCCCCCCC